TTTGTTTCTACTGTAGTAAAAACAGCAATGGTTAGCAGTTAGAAGACTTGCTTCCTTTCTTGCTAATTAGTTGTCTGACACTGGGCAAACTTCAGGGCCCATTTTTCTCATGTGACTAGGCATCAAAAGAGTAGTTGAATTAGAAGCCTTTTAAGATTCCTCTGACCCACTGACTATGCCATTTCTAAGGTTCCTTCTAGCTCTAAAATTCTATGATTCTGAGGTCAAGAGACAGTTGAAGATGTGCCAAGTATCTTTCATACTGAGCTTGATACAGATTGAGCTTAATAATATGACATTCACCATTTCTTCATTCCAAGTATCTTCCATACTATTCTGAAAGTTTTTATTTGTACAAAATGATCACTAAGGTGCCTTCAGAGTCTATGGTTATGGACTGTTAAATCTCATCTTAACAAAAAATAGATATTCTTCTATACCTAAAATAACTTTTTAGAGTTATTTCTAGGGCTAGTTAAGATTATTTTTTCTTAGTTGAAACAAAATTTAACTTTTAGCAGATAAGTGCATTGCTTTTCCAGTATAGGAGCATAAAAGAAACAGTGAACAAAAAAACATGTGCCTTTGGATCAAGCCAAAAACTCAGAAAGTTTACACTTTAAGGGCACTTAGAATGACACTGCTGTGGAGGCTGATAGCAAAACCAGAAAAGCTCATCCATTTTAGCAGTGTAATATAACCCTGAGGGGAGTCTGTCAATTGAAGCGTTATCACACTTTAAACTCTTTTTCACTCAAACTGTCAGGTATCTATTTATCATTTCTCTTTGGTAATTCAGCCATCGTAAACATAGACACCTTTAGTGACTTTGTAATTGGCCCTCATTACAATACCAAATTACCCTGAGGGCTTGCGAACAAGAAAAAGAATGTTCATGTACGCCTATGAGCTAGGCATTCTGAGGCAGAATTAGGTCAAAACAACTACAAGCAGGTATCTTCAATTATTTATAATACTAATATTCAAAAATAAAAGAATTGTTTACTTTAAAACAGAACCCAAAAGCCAACGAAAAAGTCTATTGGATTTTTATTTTTACATGATTCAAACTTTGGAGGATAAAGACCAATCAAAAAACATAACCACCACTGCACGATTCTAAAGGATTACATAAAATATTTGCTTTCAACACACAATCTTAAACTTTATAATTGTTTTTACTAATGGGATAACAAATACATAATAAATTACATAATAATTTTCTCAATAACAAGTAGTAAAAGATAATGACAACGCCAGCAAGTCTTCTTACATAGACTATTATAGCCAGAAAATAAATTTCAAGCATTTGAGGAATTTAGTAGATCAGTTAGCCACTTACGGAAAGAAGTCTACTTAAATATAAAATTTATGGGGTTTTATCATGAAGAGCCTTTTCTCTATTTTACTATTTTTTTTACCATTTGGCTTTTTAGTATTTTTATCTCTCTTTGAAGAGAACTTTTTAAATATACAGAGTGAAGAGATTTCACCGTTCCTCAGTTAATTAAAAAGAACTTATATGAAAACAAGTATGATCACAGAATTTCAACAACGGTTTTGATTCAATTATTCTATATTCTCTTCCTGGTTCTGAACAAGTCACTTAAGTTTTTCCCCTGAAGCCCCTTAGTAATTATACTTCATATTATCAGGTTTGAATATCTGTTGAAGTTTCTTTTGAATAACCCCAAATAAGGCTTGAATAAATTTCCATCTAATAAAAGAAAGCACTGACAAAGAAAAGCATAAAACAAAATAATCTATTTGCATTATATGGTAGGAGGTGATATATCAATTAAATGAAACTCTAGAGGCTATAGCTCTTAGCCTTTTGTGTAGAACCACTTATGTTTGACAAAATACAGAAAGACAGAACAACTTTCAAAATATATTAAAATATCATTGGTCATTTCATATACTATCAACTTATGCTTCACCAATAATTTCTGGGTATAATTCCAGGCCCATAACTTCAATTTTAGAGTAAACTAGTTATCAAACTGGTACACAGACTGCCAAACTAATACTGCCAAAATATTATTAAAAAATCATGTCTTTAGTGAGAAAGATTTATCTACCTAGCTAAAATTCGTATTATTCTAGATATCCCTGGAAATTTTCAAAACCATCAACATATCTTCAGTTAATAATTTAACATAATTTTTTGAAAGAAGTTTGTACTAATCAGAATTATGAGACAGTATAGTCATTACATTTCTCGATTTAAAAACATTTTAAAATTTGCTCAAAGAGAGGGTCTATGTAAACTACCTTAGTTTGAAGTTTTAAAATATGTTAAATACATTAATTAGTTAGACTAAATCACTTAAATGTTTTTAATCTCCTCATATGACATCCATGTTTGACTATTTTGGGTAGAGAGATTTAAAAGAAGAAAGTATGAAGACAGGTGACTAAAATGAAAATTAATTTTCAAGGAAATAAATAAATATCCCCAAGCTTTAGGACAAAAACCCATAATTTAAAACTTGAGTAAAGACTTTCTTATAGTAAAATTATTTTTTTAAAAAATCAACACTAGCAATCAATTTGATTTTTGTAAGTTATTTGATTATTGCTGTAAATGTACATATAAAACGAACACATTAAAAAGTAATCTTTTCAGCCTAATTTTTCCTCTAAAATACATTAACTTACTCACATTTTTTCCATCTAGCAATTCCATGCACTTTTCATTTCTGTTGAAGTTACCTACTACTTCAGGATGGACACAAGTGTGATCCCTGCTGGAAAGAATAGTCATTGGGACCCCTGAGTATGCTGTCCTCCGGAGCTCTCTAGTAATCTGAGCAATCTGCTTGTGTGTGCGTGTCCCAAAATATATTTTGGGTATCTTGGATTTCCCCCCATGATCCTTCTTAGTGGTATTTGAAGAATCTTGACTGTTTCCTTGTTTAGTAGAACAGCAGCACCTAGAACAGTTACCAGAGGGCTGTAACAAAGAAAAGAAAAGATAACTAATGTCTGGACTACCATAACATTGTTATCAAACCTCTCATGGAATCAAAACTATAAGCAGTGAATCACAACTGTCAAATAAAGAGAAATTCATGATGTTACATCATCTAAAACTTGCCATTAAGGAAAAAACTACAAATTCAATTTCAAATTGGTTCTCCTTCATAAATAAATGATAAATGATAAACCATTTTTAATCATTATAAATGTTTCCATATTTGCATTGTTTTCTAACATACTACTCCAACTCTCAAATTCCAAATGTTTTAAGTATATTTTAATTATCCTCTTTCATAAATTATAAAAGTAAGATAAAACAAAGGACAATTTTCATTTTTGCTTAGGTTTCAAGTGAACTTGTGATATTACAATTTAGAGTTGATAGTGCTATTTTTCTTCACAGCACAGTCCATTCAAATATCCTATAATATACCAACATCTTAAAAAGCATTTTAAATATAGCTTACAGAAGAATAGAAATATCAAGCTGAATCTAAAGCATCAGTCAAAAACAAGAAAAGAAGACCATTCTCTAGCGAAAGTATGAAAATGAATGCAAATTATTAATATTTAATAATAAAGGCAGGTTGCTTGTGTGGAACAAGTACATCTGAAATTCAATTACCTGTCATGGAATGTAAATCCATCAGTAAAATTACCAGTCAGGATAGCTTTTCCTGGACAATTTTACTCAATTCAGTTTCATAATTAAAATAGTTATATAAAGGCACCATATGGAACATCAGGAGTATAGTCTAGTATTTAGCTGGTTTTTTTCTCCTGTTTCCAAACTCTCAAAAATAAAAAAATTTAAAAAGCTTAATGCTATATATTAGAACCCAGGGATTCTTAATAACTACTCCCTTCTCAACCTCAGTTACTATAAAATGAGACAGAATGCAGCCTCGTTTAAGAGAAAGACTATGAAATGGTTAGTTTATAGGAATGGTCACTGATAGGGAAAAAAACTAAATAGCACAGTAGCTTAAGAGAATTTGTACTAGAGAGTTTTAGTTCAGTAGAACAAACACACCATTTAACTGCAGATTTTTTTAAAATTATAATCAGTAAGATTAGCCTTCATAAACAAATGCTAAGTCATAGCATGTTACACCACAATACTGGGGATCAAGCTGTCTTTTAGCCTCAGCTCAGTGGAAAAGCAAGTTCAAATTACTCCCAGTCTCGCTCAACCTTGTCCGCCATTAAATATTACAATACATGATAGAATGGATGTAAATGTGACCCTTCTGGAGCTGTCACTCACTGGGATAAAAGGTTCACTGATGTGCCAAATAAACAGTCAGTCAAAGCAGATAAAGTTACAGCCATGCTGGAATTGTTACATTCCCCTCTCAGGTTGCCAGTAACAGAAGATTTCATTACAGAGTGCTGCCACATTAAATAGCCAGTTCCAAATATCCTGCCTTCTATATTGAATAATTACTTATTCACTGAAAGGATAAAAAGAAGAGTTATGAATGGGGCTCTTGTCAACAGTGAGGCAGGAAACAGCTGACATGTGGTTTATGTTACATATGTTGCAATATCTAACGATTTATGGTCACACAGAAAATGGCATGCAAACTATATCATGATATTTCTGACTGAATTCCTTTCTAGCCTCTGCAATGATCACACTAATTAATTAACTCAGTAAAAGAATTAAGGTAACTCTTGGTAGCAGAATTAGTTGACTTTTCCATACCTTCAATCTTTCACTAGTTATATTAGATCTCTTCCCTATGATACAGTTAAATTCACTCTGAATATTAGAATGCTAGGGTTCAATGCATTGTTATATTCCACATGGATATAATATATACAAGCATAAAAGTAACTCAATAATGTGGCCTTTTTTCAAGGCTTGGAAAACCTACTTTTTGATATAACACTTTTCAACATGAATTCCACTTAAAGCTTTATCACCCACTCCTTTTATTTTAATTCCACTATTTTTCTAAACAAAAAATTCAAATGCTACAGAAAAATACAAAGTAAGTCAACCACCACCACAAATAACGTGCAGACCCTTCTACATATATCTTCCACTATTTTTTCAAATAGAAAGGGATGCTATTATATAGACTTATAACTTGCTGCCTTGTATTCAAATGTTTTAATTCTTAAAAGGGGTATTTGCACTAATAATTTGAAAAAGGGATCTGCTTATCTTAAAATATTATGCTAGTAGCTGTACTAACAAAAGTAAAAGATCAAGAACTAGCTTCAGAAAACTCTTCCCACTAGAGCAGCTTTATTTAGGTAACTTAAATTTGTTTTTCACTCCATAACTGAGAAAATTTTAAACCACGGGTAATTTTATACTAAAAATGTTTTTTGTTTAAGTCTTAAAATGCTCTGAAGTAATTATACCATCTATGAACTCAAGGGTGACTCCTCAAAGAAGATGGTTTTTCAGTGGGTGGTTGCACAAGTAGAGTAGAAGATAGAAATTAAGAAAGGTGATTCTTATTTATTTGCAATATTAAAGGGGAATTATTTCTTCAGAAGTGATCTTCTATTGGAGTTTCTATTTAAAGGATTTGGTATAATCATATTTGAAGATGGAAAAAAATGAATGTAGCAATAGAACAGAGGCTTAAAAAAGACAATTATTTAGTAACAAAAGAGAATTATTTGTACCAAAACCAGCAAGTTTCAATTCTGTAAGAAAACTAGAGAAAGAATCCTGAAACAGCAATGATAGGAAGTCATAATATCCTCCACTCCAATAATACGCTAATATTTTCTGGCCTCTCTCTGAAACCCTTTGACCTAGGGGTTTTGAAACAATAGATGAACAAAATTAAATATTTTTCACTAAGCATTTCTCCTGTTAACAAATGATCAAGTTTATCTTTCATAGGGATGTCTTACTTTTGTTTTTGCTCTTTAAATTTACAGACTATATTAGGAAACTGGAGAATAAATTAACAAATATTCTCTCTCATCTAATATATCTGAACGTCAAGAAGACAAATCACATGGGCTCCCAAAACCTGTAATCTCTAAGAACTGTAAATAGCTACACTGTATGGTAGAACCAAACTCTTTAAGAGATGGCTTCTTTTCCCATAGCTGGAAACTGTCTAGAGTTCTTTTACTTTAAACAAAAGGCAAGAAAACTTAACCCAAATAACACCAAAAAAAATCTATTATCATTTAAAGAGAAACACAAGAGATAAATGTGGGTGTGACAGCTCTATTATTAGTTCCACATGCAGGAGTCAATTGTTTAAAAATACATTTCAAATTTACAGTAGCCAAAACTGTTCTTAGGTCAGCAACCAAGGATTTTAGAAAATTTTGTGTCTAACAATTTCTATTTATTCCCTCTCTTGTCATACTACATAGAGACATATATTGAAATTTTTTGAAAGGATAAAGAAAGAATATAACATTTGATCTTGAAAGGCCAACTGCTGATTCCTTGCCACTATTCCTTTCACAAGGCTACAATCAGAAGTTTAAGTAGATTAAGATAACTACATCAACCTCTAAAGTTTCATAGTTCTCTCCAGCCTTTCCCCACAACAACAACAAAAACTACTATGCCTAAATACTTGGAAAAATAAAAATTAGCATGGTGACTATGCCTTAAAAAGGAAAATAATAAAGGAGTAGTTAGAAACTATTGCATTGTCAGAGATGTTATTTTGTAAATTCATAAATCAGGGGAGTATCTAAAAGCTGTTTATGAACTGAATTCTAAAAGCAAGCATAAAAGGATATATTTAATATGAAAAATAAGTAATAAAGAAGTGGAGAGGAAAAGAGACCAAAAAGAAATAAAGGGAATGAAATTACTGGTATGAAATAAAGGGAAAACTAGGTCCACGAAATAGTAACATATGTGCATGCATTGTCTTTCAACCACACTCCAAATTCTCTGAGGACAGAAACTGTCTTACATTACTTCATCTACTCATTCATTGAGCATGGTGTTTTGCATATAACTATAACTTAATTTTTTTTGATTGATGGATTGTGATTAATGTCCTTAAACCAAATACTATACCCATGTACCACATTTTATCTGTAGATGCTTAACTGATGCCCTAATTTGAAGTCCTTCACATATCAAAAAATTACCTCAAAATAAAAAGGTTAGCTTTTAAAAGAAAAAATACAGGACAATTTGTTATTTTTCAAGAATAAAAAGAAAAATCATCTTGTTATGACAATATCTGAGCCACTGTAGTTGTGGGCGACAAACACATATCCTGATATATTCATTATTAATAGCTGTCATTTATTAAGGCTGTCCCTGTGCTGAGCACTCCACATGTACTCATTCATTCATTCATTCAAGAAACATTAGAATTCCTGATATATCAAGCCAAGTAGAAGACAATGACAAGGGTCACTTCACCCCACTGACAAAGAGGGCTTTACTTTTTAATTGTTCTACAAGGTGTGTTTATCAATACCAGTTTCGCTCACGAGGTAAAGAACTGTTTAAAGTTGGTACTCTAAGTGCATTATTTCCTGAATGCAACTACAAAATATTCTTAAGGATAAGCTATACAATTTATTTCATAAAAACTATTTTAACTTATTATTAGTTGACATTTAAGTCAAATATTTTCTAACAGGATGGATATTATATTCCAAAAGGGAAAAAAACAAAAATTCTCAAATAAGAGACTCTTTAGAGCAAGTGTCAACAAACTTTTTCTGTAAAGGGCCAGAAAATAAATATTCTAGGTTTTGTGGGCCATAAACTCTCTGTCCCTATACAGGAAAATATCTTCATTATCTCAACATAGGAAAGGATTTCTTAAACAATACACCAAAAGCACAAATGACTGAAAACACAATCTCGAGAAGATATGTGCACTGTATATAACCAACTGAGGATCATTATTCACAATATATAAAGAATTCGAACAAATCAATTTTTAAAAAACAAACCCAATAGAAGAAAAAGAGCCCAAGAACAAGAAAACCACAGGAGAGAAAAGCGGAAAA